TATGTTTTTAGCAACTAGTAATAGCATACATGCCTGGATTCTGAAACTACTAGAACATTTTGATACTAAAGTCATAGAATAATGCTTTAGAGTTGAAAAGTTGACCAGAGGTTTTCATCTCCAGGGTTTTCCTGGTAGCTCAACTGGTAAAGAATCCACCTGCTGTGCAGGAGACTCCAGTTCGACCCCAGTCAGGAAGATCCGCTGGAGAAGGGATAGGCTACCTGCTCCAGTATTCTTGGGCTTTCTTGGTGGCTCAGCTGGTAAAGAATTCACCTGCAAGGTGGGGGACCTGGGTTTGATCCCTGGGTTGGGAAGATTCCCCTGGAGAAAGAAAAGGCTACCCACTCCAGTATTCTGGCCTGGAGAATTCCATGGACAGTCCATGGGGTCGCAAAGAGTCAGACATGACTGAGCGACTTTCACTTTTCATCTCCAGAAATCAATTTTATTTTATTTTTAGAAATCAATTTAAAATACTTTATTTCTTACAAAATGAAATTTCCAAGATGCAAAGGAACCTATGTGAAATTTGTATCCTGAGACAAGCTTCAAAATGAAAATGAGTCCAAAAATAACTCAACTTTAATAGGTACATTGAACTTAGAGCAAATGTGTAAGATTGACAAATTCAGAAGATTGTTATACATTGACACATGAAAGAAAATATGAAAAAGGAAATTTAAAAACCATTGCCCTTTTAATTTATTGATTTTGCTGACGTGAAATATAATTATGGCTTTAGTTTCAGAATACTTTTGTTCTAGTATATTTTGCTTTTCAAAATACAAGTTTTTGTTCAGTAACTTCAATCAGGGAATATATCACTTATTTTTAGACAGAATAACAATGGTAATTAATGGAAACAGTGAAATTTGAATTGTAGAAATATTTTGATACTGATTTTTAAAATCACTTGCCATCAGGCATATATAATTGTTTAGGTTTCTCCCTTCCCCAAATCTGGTACTTCCTCCACAAATCCTAATATTTTATTGATTTGTTTCACTCATATATTTCCACTTTTATTCAATCAAAACAGTTGAGGACCTATGTCTGTTCACATGAACCTATTTCCAACCCCTAGTATTGGAGAAGGCGACGGCGACCCTCTCCAGTACTCCTGCCTGGAGAATCCCATGGACAGAGGAGCCTGGTAGGCTATAGTCCATGGGGTCTCGAAGAGTCAGACATGACTGAGCGGCTTCACTTTCATTTTTCACTTTCACGCATTGGGGAAGGAAATGGCAACCCACTCCAGTGTTCTTGCCTGGAGAATCCCAGGGACGGGGGAGCCTGGAAAGACATTGTTTACTGTGATTTGCTTTTGCATGTGTGTAGATTCAACCTGGGAAGGACCACAAAGACAATCTTAGAGGCTACAGTTGGAAGCTTTTGGAAGTTCTTATGTGCATCATTTTTATCCTTGACAGTCTCATTATCGTAGCATTAATACCTCATTTTTGCTACCAGTGATTTTCAGAAATGACAAGTTTATATGATGAAAGTAAATGAGTCACATGTTCATAAGAGGAGCAATGGGGGAATTATAAATTAGAGAATCATAGAACCAAGATCACCTTTAAGAATGTGTTAAGTAGGGTTACTGTCTTACTTTAAGTAGTTCATTTAGTCCCTATGCATATGATATTGTGATGCTTAAAATAGTATTTATTTTGTAAATATTTATTAAATAGTATTTATTAAATAATATTTATTTTAAGTATTTATTAAATAGTATTTATTTTGTAAGTACAAAATAGTATTTATTTTATCTTCATACTCTTATGTAAATATTTGATTTGATATTGATATGCAGAGTAATAACTAAAGAAAGTTGTGTTTGTATGAAGTGTTTGATAAGGAAAAGAAGATGAAACCAGTTAATTAGGTAAAGAATTATGAGTGGTAGGGAACCTAATTTTATTCCTTATTCAATTCTGTCACATCATTGAAAATTACTTCCATTGTAGAGGTTCTCTCCACCAACACATGCACACATACTCACACCCCTCATTTCAAATATCAAAATCTTCAAATACATTTATAGAGGGTTTAATAAATTAAATGATTAAACATTTAGTATAACCAAACTGAAGCTTTTGGGTGTGCTTTTTCATGTTATCACTTTAACATTGAAGTAACTATTCTTCTTTTAGGTATTTACTATATTTAAACAATCTTTCAGAATAAATATAATATACATTGTCTACATTTTTAATAAACTGTATAGATATTAATACAATTTTAGAATGATTAACATTGCTGGAAGAATCTATTAATAAGAATAAATTTATGTTAAAAAACTAGAAAATTTGAGGTGCTTAAATGTATAACTTAGATTAGTATCATATAAATTTGGCTACTTGTCTGGTTACTTACAGATAATGAAACCATTCGTGAAGTCATGAATAAAATACAGCTCCGAGTAAATGCATTTCTGTAGTAAATATGTACAGCTTTCTTTGAGAAGAAGTAAAAAAAAAAGAAACTGATAACAACCATGCTTCCTGAGTTTCTGTCAGAAGCTTAAGTCCTCCTTTGTTTTGATATATGGATTCCAAAGCATCGTTAGTGCTTTTGGAGTGGAGGATTCTAAAGGGAGGAAGTGTCTGAAGTACCCACAGAAGGCTGCCCTGAGAGTGAGAATAATGCAAAGGTTTGTTACATACAGGCTGTTCCCCATTTCTGTTCCAGTGCAGATTGTGATTCAGTCTTTATACAGTTCGCTTACACATCCTTCAAACAACACTGAAAAACTGGAGCTTCAAATTGTGTCTTCTGTTTGTGACACTTACTGGGAAGGTGTGTGAGTGGAAACACGTGTGTGTGTGTGTGTGTGTGTGATGCTGGACTGCTTGCTGAAAGCGACCTTTAAGATTTCAAATTGGGGAATTTAAATAGAAGACCTGGAAGTAAATATTAAATATATGTATTCATGCATATATATGAATGATTTCCCGAAGTTGCATTTAAATTACTTCGATTCTAGTTGCTGGCTTTGTTCTGTCTCATTGTATTGGTGAGTCCTTATTTTCTCCAGATATTTTCCTAGGTGCTGTGTAAAACTGATATGGATCAGACTCTGGATCAGTGGTGACTCCATCAAGACATAATTCCCTTATAATCCCCACCGGGCTCTCACACTGGGGAGACTGGAATTACACATTAAAAAACAGGGATCAGGAATCCCCTTTTTTCAGGTTCGCTCCCTTTAGCTCAAAGTCCTATCAAACCAGGATGGAGCTAAACAGACATTTTCTAAATATTTTAATATATTGGTGATTCCCATTTTTTTTAACATACAAGACATTCAAGAAGGATGAACTTCCAGAGCCTCAATCCCATTCCTACTCATTAACAGTTTCTTGTATGCTCTTTGTTTGTGTAGTATTTATTGATTTGGTTGCATGGTCTTAGCTGAGACACATGGCTTCTTCTGCTGTGGTAGCCGGGCTTCTCTACTTGAGTCGCGTGTGCTCAGTAGCTGTGGACATACAGGCTTCGTTTCTGTGCGGCATGTGAGATCTTGGCTCCTCAACCAGCACTTGAACCCATGTTCCCTGCATTGGAAGGCAGATTCTTAACCAGGGAAGTCCACCTCTTATGTGCTTTTGTACTATTATATTTACCTAAACATCCTTCTCAAAAGTGCTTACCCAACAGGACTGTACAAATATCTATGTGGTCTAATGATATAATGGTAAAGCCAACATTTGTAAACCAGCTTAAAAAAGCATTACTAGTGCTTGTTCAAGATTGAAAAATATAGAAATAACTTAAATGCATAAAGCCAGGATGATGTGTAGACACATTTTCACTTGTTTTTTCACTCATTGTATATTGGTTGTCTTTGCTATCCACCTCTAAACAGTGCCACCTGACTTTGCCAGAAAGGATGCCTCAGTGTCTGTTCAGATAAAGGACAGTGTCCTGGTACCTGAAAGGCTGCTGGCGAATAATTTGTTTTATGTCTTACATTAAGCATCATTTTTACCCAGGCAGAATCTAGTAAATGTAAATAGAATTTAATAAATTACTCAACATATTATACTAATAAGGCAAAAACTAGTGTAACTCTAGTATGCTGAGAGTTATGGTAACATGAGTTCCTTTTTTGGTAAAAGTAGTAAATATTTTAGTGAAGATTCCAAAGGTGAATCACAAAGGTTGGAAGTAAGAACAGTGGAAGATTAAGCAGTGGAGGCACTCCTTAAACCATTGGTCAGCACTATACATCTGTCTTTTCCAGGAGCTTTTCTGATGGCCAGAGAGAGTTCAATGTGAAATAATGATTTTGTATATTGAGGAAATTGAGTCAAATTTAGAACTTCAGTGATGATTACCTGAATAGTCTTGGTAGGATATGATCTGGTTGAAATATTCACAATTTCTTTGGATTCTCTAGCTATTTTATCTTTAGTCAACAAGTGATGAATGCCTTTCACTCATCAGCCTTTGGTTCATGATCACTGTGACCATTTTTAGTTATTTGTGAGTGTGGTTTATAGATACAGTCTGTCTCACTGAAGGGATACATGCTTCAGTCATTTATAAACCACTCAATTTGGAAATAGAATCCCTAGGAAAGTCAAAGCTTAGAAGCACCAGAAGATGTTTGTATTCTGCATAGTCTACTGATATGATGTGTGTCATAGTTCAGTGTTGGGTTTTTATTATTAATCAGTCTTTCAGCTGAGAACTCTCACAAGCCTGGGAGCACCTAAGATAAAGGATGATAGATACCTTGATCCCTTCACATAAAACAACCTCCTGAAAGTTGATGCCCATGACTTAAACCTTGTTATATAGGCAACATTTTAGAGCCATAAATGTTCAGGTAATTATGTGGTTTAATCAGTGGGCTGTTATTTCTGTTAGTGGATTAAATGAGACACTAGCCAACTGAATAAACCATCAAATTTTTTAAAAATATGCTTTTGAATATTCTTTATAAATAGAAAAATTCTCAATACCCTGTCTTTAATTTTTATTCTCAGGTTGGTGAGACCAGATGCAAAAAGGTTTGTACGTCCAAGTCTGATCTGAGATCAAATGACTTCAGCATCGTGGGAAGCTTACCGAGAGATTTTGAATTGTCCAATTATGACTGCTATGGAAAACCCATTGAGGTCAACAACGGACTTGGGAAGTCTCAGGCCAAGAACAACAAGAAGCCGCCTCCGGCCAAACCCGTTATTCCAACAGCAGCAAAGAGAATCGACCTTTATGCGAGAGCCTTGTTTCCTTTCTGCTTCTTATTCTTCAACGTTATCTACTGGTCTATATATTTATGATAAACCCTTTCCATTCATATGAAGTAAAATCCCATCGCATTGTGACCAACCTCGTTCATAAATGCCAATCTGTGAACAATCTTTGCATTTTCATAGCAGTGTATTGCATTTTGGATGCCATGGGATTGTAACACAAATATGGCACCTTCATGTGGAATGGCAGCATGACTGTGTTACGTCTGTGCTCTAATCATGATGTACTTAGGTAAAGCAAACATAATTGCTTTAGGAATAAACGAAGGATAAGCATACTACATAAAATAAAATCCAGACGTTTCTCTCCAGTTAGTGTAAATTGCAAACACTTCTGATAATTCTGATAATAAAATGGTATGCACGCTGAACCCTGTTAAGATCAGCATTCCAATGTATGTAGCATTTCAAATCTTCCTTGTAACTTTCAGAGAAAGCCATCTTATTCTTGTATAATTTTAGATGGTATTAATACAGATAAGCAAAATTATATTACATATGGTATAACTTTATAAGTAGAAATATATCAGCTATAATTATGTGGGGGCTGTGGAGAAATAAAGTTCAAAAAGATTCCTCATTTGTAAAGTCAGCTAATTTTAAAGTGTGCCCGTGTTGGCCATGCCAGACAATAAAATCCAGTGAGCAGTTTTGAAACAAAGGGAAATCTAGATTTACCTACATTCGTGCTGAATTCTGGTTTCTGATAAGAAAGTAGATATATTGATTAAATATTTCTGATAAAAGAAATTCTATTTAGTCCACTTTAAAACCTAAATATATTTTCATGGATTTTATTTTGTTGATACAGAGTATACGGAATCATTGTGCCTTAAAAAGAGTCATAAATATTTTAAATTGGAATATAGTAATGAATATTGTGATTTCATACCATTTTTAAGAAACCAAGAAGAAAATACCTTATTACTAGAAGTAACTTGAGTTAGGAAGAAAAATCCATTATCATTAAATTAAAATCATTAAAAGAATTTAGCTTCTTTATCTTATTAAGATGCTAGCATATTTTAAAGTAAAATTAATTTTTTTTCATTTCCTTTTTTCTTATTTGAATAATGTTTGACTTGTTACAAAACATTTAACAATTAAGTAAATGATTACTTCATTAGGCCTCACCTCTAGTTGCATTTTCTTTCTTGCTGAAAGTCTGGACTACTTAAATTATACTTGCTTTGATCTTGTTCCAACTTGAAAATAAGTACTTTCTGGTCTATAAGACTTGAATTTCCTAGTAATATCAGAGCCAAAGTACCTTTTTATTTCTCCATAGCTGATACTAAGACTATCAGTAATCCACGTAACATAAACATGAGGCCAAATAAGTATATTTACATTATGTGGAGAATTTCGTAGCAGCTGAGATCTTGGATGGTTAATTCAATAATAAAGTGTGTTTACAAACAGTTTATGCAAACTGCAACCTATAATTCAAGGCTATTTTATTGAAGACTTTAATTTGTAAAAGAGTCACTGATTACTAAATCTTTACAAAATGAGATGTATCTAATCCTGTGGTCTTTCAGCACCCTCTAGTTGCAAAAGTTTAGCCATCTGAACCATTTTAAAATCACCACAAGTCACCCTATCGGTAGACTTAACATCCTGCTAGGACCCAGGGCAGTAGTATCTTAATGGTACTGTGATAGGAAAAAAGTGTCTTGAAAAAGACTTAGACCATTTAAATTTGTATTAATAATAATTACACTTCCTTATAGTCTCTTTTCTTTATCCTTGCAAATTTCATTCATATTAGGGAGTTTGATTTCCATGCAGTTTTAAGTGGGATATGTACCCAATGGAAAATAGGTCTCATTTTGTAAGAATTTATTTCTTGAAAATAATGTGAATGAATTTCTTTATGTAATATAACATTGCAGCCTCCTAAGATCTGTTTTACTACCCAAATATATATAAATAGCTATCCCAGGATTAAGTGTGTATATATAACTACAAATGGAACATTGCACAATGATCATCATGCAGTACAATCAGTGTCCACTAACAGTTGCTTTCTATTGTTATGTTGAGAATTTAGCCAATTAACCCAGGGTAGTTCTGATCTGTGTACTTTAAGTATTATGTCTTTCTAGGAAACTTGCAGTATTTACCTGGATATCAGTGTTGCAAATTCGATCTTTCCAAAATAAAAATGATCTCCTCCTTACAAATCAGTGGCTTCTCTTATTTTCTGTTTCTGATTAAAAAAAAAAAAAATCTCACTATTCCAGTCCTCTGAGGTCCATCCACCTTCCTTTCTCACATGGTACCCGCTGTCAAGTTCCAACCTCTAAACTTCTCTCCCTTACGCTGACCACCTGGTCTCCATTTCTGCAAACACCACCCAATTTGTTTCCCTTTTATGTTCATCAGACTGTTACCCCAGTCTGAAGGCTCCCTCCTTCATAACTCTTTGAATTTACTTTGTGATGTTTATTTTTTAATTGCATAAGTAATACATAGATATCTTGTTGCATTAGAAAAACAGATATATTTAAAATAAGCACTTAATGCTGGTGTTATCACCTTTTTTCTACAAACTCTCCTCTCTTCCCAGAGGTCATCACTGTCTTTTGAGCATCTAGACCTTACTCTATGCATCTACAACTTCTATCTACTTTTTAAATATAAAGGACAGTTTAACATAAATGGAATTTTACCATATGTACAGTTTTTCAGTTTATTAATTTTTCATCTATTGGAGACCTTTCTATTTGGGGTCATATCAGATGTATATACATCTGTATTTGGTCTCCTGTTATTCTTTAGTGTGAATGTACCTGAATTTAGCTACTTTTTAAACACAAATTTTTATTGTTTTTGCTTCCTTTTTAAAAAAAATATTATTTTTCAAAAAAAAATTTATTTATTTGGCTGCACCAAATCTTAGTGGCACATGGCATCTTTAGTTGCAGCAACTGTAATCTAGTTCCCCGACCAGGGATCAGTCATTTACCTGGGACCCCTGCTTTGGGAATGTAGACTATTAGCCACTGGACCATCAAGGAAGTTTTGTTTATCCTTTCTAATGCAAAATAGCATTGCACTAAATGTTTTTGCTCACATATGCATATGTTTCCACAAGATAGATATCAGAAGAGGAGTTACTGAGTTGAAAAATATCTATGTTTTAAATTCTGGTGTGTGTGCTCAGTTGTGACCAACTCATGGCCCCATGGACTGTATATAGCCTGCTAGGCTCTTCTGCCCCTGGAAGATTCCAGGCCAGAATACTGGAGTGGGGTGCCATTTCCTACTCCAACCCGCATTGTTTGCCTTTCCTATATTGGCAGATAGATAGATTCTTTACCACTAGTGCCACTTGGAAAGCCCGTTAAACTCTGGTAGTTTCTACCTTCCAAAACTCCTCTAAAGTAGATTGTCAGTATGCTGTGTGCAAACGTTCACAGCCTAGCCATCTCTTAACCTGTTGTATGCTGTGGACATACTACTTTTCTTTTTTAAACTCTTCTTTGACATTGTTTCAAACGTTCAAAAAACATGCAAAAATATTACAAAGAATACCTGTGCACCAATCATCCAGGTGCCCAAAGGTTAGTGTTTCATCACATTTGCTTTATTTTCTTTCTCCCACTTTGTGTGTGCTAAGGAGACAATTTTTTTTCTGAAACATTTAAAACAAAGTTGCAGATATGATGATGTCCCTTTACACTTACACCCTTCAATGTGTGTTTCCTAAACAAGGAGCTCCTTTCATAATCACAGTAGTACTAGGTACCCGGTGGAGAAGGAAATGACAACCCACTCCAGTACTCTTGCCTGGAGAATCCCATGAACGGAGGAGCCTGGCTGGCCATGGTCCATGGGGTCGCAGAGAGTCGGACACATCTAAGCAACTTCACTTCACTCACTTCATACTTTATCACTGGAGAAGGAAATGGCAGCCCACTCCAGTATTCTCGTCTGGAGAATCCCATGGACAGAGGAGCCTGGCTGGCCAATGGTCCATGGGGTCGCAGAGAGTCGGACACAACTGAAGTGACTAATCATGCACGCACTAGGTACCCAGATCAAGAAATGGACATTGATGAATTAGTATAATCTAGTAACTTCATTCAAATTTGCCCATTGTCCCACCTTTTTTCTTTTCTTTTTTTTATCAGGATGCAATCCAATGTCACATTCTCTACTTGCTTGCCATGATGTTAATTTCTTTAAAATAAAGGTGAAAGTAGGTTTCACTGGTGACTCAGCAGTAAAGAATCTGCCTGCCAATTCTGGAGACATGGGTTCAATGGGTTCAACAGGGGTTCTGGGAACATTCTACATGCCACAGAGCAGTTAAGCCTGTGGGCCATAACTATTAAACCTATGCTCCAGATCCTGGGAGCCTCAACAACTGAGCCCACGTGCAGCAACTGCTGAAGCCCGCATGCCCTAGAGCCTGTGCTCTGCAAAGAGAGGCCACCACAATGAGGAGCCCGCACACCTCAACTACAAAATAGTTCCTGCTCCCCACAACTAGAGAAAAGCTGGCACAGCAACGAAGAACCAGGACAGCCATGAAAAAAAAAAAAAAGACAGGAAAGTCAATTCCAGAAAGCAAATCCTCACTTGAATTTAGAACAAGGAAAAGTTAGAGATCACACCCCCCCCCACCCCCCGCCCCCACACACAAAGCTGAGATCATGGCATTCTGCTTAGGTATCTTTAGAGCTTTGTGTTGCCCAATGAACTAAGTAAAAAATCCACTCTCTGACATATAAAATTCAGATTGTTAAATGTTTAACTTATTATGTAGCCATTTCATACTGCTCACATCTTAAATGCCAACCAAACCGAAGCTGACCTTTATGTTTCACACTTAGCATTGACAGGAATACTAAGTTCAGCCAGGTTCCTTTCCTTTCAGGTTAGTGGTTAATTTTACGTCTCATTATTTCTCTTAAGTGGGTCATTCTTGGATGGTGTGTCTTCAAATGCTTATTTTAACTGAAATGTTTTTATTCAGCATTAAGCATTTTTCAGTTATGTGGTTTCCTCTCTACTAAATTATGAAATTAAAATATTTACCATTACCATATGCAGTATAAAGATTAAGCTGCTCTAAAAGCCACTCTATTTATCATCATCCATATAATGGAAAATTTTAGTTTCAATATACATTGGATATAAAATTTTAAAGTACCAATCCTAAGATGAGAAATAGTTTGAAACAATTTTTATAACCTTTAATAAGGATTTATTGTTAGAATATTATTACCTTGCTTTAGAAAAGCAGAATTTGCCACTTATATTTTCAAATTAAATTCATATGCTTATGCAACATATCAATGATCTAGCATGCACTAACTCCCCTCTTCTTTTTTTCTTTTCTTTATGAAGCTAGTCTTAACCTTTTAAGGGGTTAGTGTCCAGTTCTTTATATCAATGGAGTAGATATACTTTACAGACTTTCTTGTGATTGATATTAATGGGTATCTCATTGAATACCTTTATTCAAAGGTGAATATAATGTTAGTGTGTGTAATATGCATAAACTTGATATTTTTAATTTTGATACACACATATCCATTTTCTCTACACACACACACATACATATTATTAAATTGTATCCTTACCCAGTAAGAGCAATGAGAAAATTCATGAATTCTGTTCTAGTTGGAATTTCTGTACTCCAAACATTAAGTGCATTTTGACTCCCATAAATATTTTTGCAATTTCTCAAACCAGAAGTCAAGGGATGCATGTGTGTATTTGTGTATGTGTTAGTCATGTCTGACTCTTTGCAACCCCATAGATTGTAGTGTGCCAGGCTCCTCTGTCCATGGGATTTTCCAGGCAAGAATACTGGAGTAGGTTACCATGCTCTTCTCCTCAAGAGATACTTGGGTAACAGGCAAGTTTGGCCTTGGAGAACAAAGTGAAGCAGGGCAAAGGCTAACAGAGTTTTGCCTAGAGAAGTCACTGGTCATAGCAAACACCATCTTCCAACAACCCAAGAGACAACTTTACATATGGACATCACCAGATGGTCAATACCGAAATCAGGTTGATTATAGTCATTGCAGCAAAAATAAGACCAGGAACTGACTGTGGCTCAGATCATGAATTCCTTATTGCAAAATTTAGACTCAAATTAAAGAAAGTAGGGAAAATCGTTAGGCCATTCAGATAGAACCTAACTCAAGTCCCTTACGATTATACAGTAGAAGTGACAGATAGACTCAAGGGATCAGATCTTATAGACAGAGTGCCTGAAGAACTATGGATGGAGGTTTGTGACATTGTACAGGAGGCAGTGACCAAGATCATACCCAAGAAAAAGAAAGGCAAAATGGTTGTCTAAGGAGGCCTTACAAATATCTGAGAAAAAAAAAGAAACTAAAGGCAAAGGAGAAAAAGAAAGATATATCCATCTAAATGCAGAGTTCCAGAGAATAGCAAGGAGAGATAAGAAAGCCTTCCTCAGGGATCAATGCAAAGAAATAGAGGGAAATAATAGAAAGATCTCTACAAGAAAATTAGAGTATCAAGGGAATATATCATGCAAAGATGGGCACAATAAAGGACAGAAACAGTATGGACCTAACAGAAGCAGAAAATATTAATAAGAGGTGGCAAGAGTGCAAAGAAGAACTGTACAAAAAAGATCTTCACTACCCAGATAACCACGATGGTGTGATCACTCACCTAGAGCCAGATATCCTGGAATGTGAAGTCAAGTAGGGACTTAAGAAATATCACAACAAACAAAGCTAGTGGAGATAATGAAATTCTAGCTGAGCTANTCTAGTCAAAGCTATGGTTTTTCCAGTATTCATATATGGATATGAGAGTTGGACCATGATAAAAGCTGAGCACAGATGAATTGATGCTTTTGAACTGTGGTGTTGGAGAAGACTCTTGAGAGTCCTTTGGCCTGCAGAGAGATCAAACCAGTCGTAAAGGAAATCAATCCCGAATATTCACTGGAAGGACTGATACTGAAGCTGAAGCTCCAATACTTTGGTCACCTGATGCAAAGGAGTGACTCATTTGAAAAGACCCTGAGTCTGGGAAAGATTGAAGGCGGGAGGAGAAGGGGATGACAGAGGATGAGCTAGTTGGATGGCATCACCGACGTGTTGGACATGAGTCCGAGCAAGCCCCAGGAGCTGGTTATGAACAGGGAAGTCTGGTGTGCTACAAGTCTATGGGTTGCCGAGAG